CCTCCCACTACACTACCGAGAGACTTGTGACGTAACAATTGCTGACTCATCATGACTCTCCAGCATGCATCTTAAAGGCACAGGTCACAAAAAAAAAATAAATAAATAAAAAAATAAAATAAAAAAGTATAACTTACTTTGGGTTAACTTTGACCCCTATCTTGTCCAGGCCAATCTTATCAGTGCACGCATCTCGACCCACCGCTATTAATACCTGAGGAGCATAGAATGCTTGATAAGGTTGATGGATATCCACAGGTATCCTTTTTTTTTTTTTTTTTAAAAACACAGTCAGCTGTGTTTTTGAACTAAACATACCTGTTGTCCAATAAAACAGGTTTGCCAAGACAAAGCAAAAGTATGTCCAAATCAGAGCAGAGCTGACCGACGGACTTACAGTGTTATACTCTCCCTCGATGACATCATCATTCTCCGTGGACTTAGCTGTCACTTTCAGCCGGCCCGGAGTGCCTGCTTCCAACTCCTCTATCTGACAAGCACCAAAGGTTCATTTGTTGCCGTTTAATTGTCAGCGATATAAATGCTAAAAATAAAGAACTGTCTCGACTCACATTTACAGGGACGTATTTACGGATGAATTTGATGCCATGTTCCTCCATGTGCTCACCCGCACGGTCTGCCATTTCCTGGTCAAAGCCCCTCAGTAGGATGGAACGCACCATGATGGTGACATCGAGACCGAGGCCAGCAAGGAAGCCACCACATTCCAAGGCGACATAAGATGCACCGATCACCAAGGTCTTCCCGGGGCAGTACGGCAAGGAGAAGAGATCGTCGCTGCGGGAAAACAAATAAAAGGTTCATCGGGTAAATCAGCAGTGAATTGCTCTGCTGCTTCAACGCAAGGGGGGCCTGGGGGGGCTGTCAAACTCGCCAAGCAGGCCAGACTGGCTGTTGACATTTTTATATGGGGCGGGGGGGATAGAACGGTTGATAACATTTAGACAGTTGGGATGTCCTGAGATAAAGCCACCTTGGCCCCGTTGAGAATATTGCTTTCATCTCGCCTAACATACTGAACTGGACCTGGACGGGGTGTTCTGACATCGCGCGTGGTCCAAATGCAATACGTTCATGTATAAGGAAGAAATATAAAATGGAACCCTTACCTTGTGATGCAGTACTCCTTGTCTCCAGGTATTCCCAGGTAACGTGGTCGCTCACCTGTAGCCAGGACAAACTTAGCTGCTGTGTAAAATGTCTCCTTGCCTCGCTTGTTTAATGCCTTTTGAAGAACGACATTAAATACTTGTTATGTGGCTGCCAATGGAAAGCTTGCACAACATGCAGGTTTGATGTCATCATCGATTATGGATGGCGTGTGAAATGCATTTGGAACCGCCTCAAGCTTTCAAAAGGCCATGTTGACAGCGCTCAGGAGCTCGGACAACTAAAAACGAAAGCGACTTCCAGGCATGACAAGGCAAAAGGGGACTTCTATTTCTTTTGCAAACCAGAGCCGATTGACATTTCGCTGTGACCATTTGTCGGCTGATTCAGGTGAATACATGTTAGAATTTTACCATCCATGACACGAATGCCATAGAACACAAGCTAATTCAAACGGCAGCTTCTTTTTGCTCAATTCCAAACCGTCGCATTTCTGAAAGCCGTCGTAACGCAATGCCCGATGATCAACGTCTTACCTTGATCTTGTGGGGTTCGACGAATTCCGCATAGGCATTGACATAGTTGACATTCTTGTCCCTCAGCGCCACCCTGTAGCCCCAGTTTAGTGAGCCAATGTAGTCGTTAATGGCCGTCTTCATCGTCTCCCAGTTGTGTTTGACTGACCGTAGACGGAACAAGGCGAGAATAGTGAGCGGCGGTGGCATGAGGAGAGCGCCAACGTTTACTGCTGCTGGCTAGTGGCTCTCCATCCCTTCTGGTTGTCAGTGGAATGAAGTGCTTACCAGTTTCATCAAATTCCCAGCCAAACTTGCGTGCGTCTTGCATGGAGGTAGCAAGCAAGGCGGTCTGGTGCATCAGTTTCTTGGGAATGCAGCCGACATTCACGCAGGTTCCACCTAGACCTGATAACCACAGTTAAGATTCGACATTAACATGCCGTAGCCACAGCCTGGAGGCCTCAGATCATCGTCAGACAAAAGAGCGGGATCAATCTAAATTCAGCCACAGCAAAACACATTTTTATGGGTGCCGATTACAAAATAAAAAGACCCCGTTTTCACCATACATTGGAATGTGGGAGGAAACTGGAGTACCCGGAGAAAACCCACACAGGCACGGGGAGAACATGCAAACTCCACGCAGTAAAACGCTGGACTTCTGCACCGTGAGGCAGAGGTGCTAACCACTCATCCATCGTGTCGCTCCCAAACAGATAGCTTAGAAGAAATATCTTACCCCAAGTGGTCCCTTTTGGTGTGGGAACAACAAAGTCCAAAACCATTACTTTTTTCCCCAAAGTCGCAGCTTCCTTCAAAAGACAAAATGAATAGGAAATAGAGAAAGAGAAATTACAGTGGAAGCTATGAGTTCCACTCTGAGCCAATCACAAAACTAAAAAAATGTGACATCCACTCACTGCAATTAAGGTTCTCACCTTTGAACAGGAAAGTCCACCAGATCCGCCTCCAATGACAATAAGGTCATAGTCATACGCTTCGCTTTGTCCATTCAGCAGTTGATGCAGACTGCCGTCTTTATGGGCCTGACGCACACACAAGCACAGTTAATATTGACGGTATATTAGGAGCAATTTGCACAACCAGTATGACATTTTTTTATAATTATCCGTGTGCTTTTGTCAGCTGTGTCTTTTGTGGATCATTAATTGCTTGCCACTATAGCTGAGTGTAAAAAAAAACAAAACAAAAAAAAATAAAAAAAACTACTGTATTCAAAATATGTTACCTGCATTGTCTTGTCACAGCCACCAACATGCGTTTTGTTTATGAAAACATTTGGAACAGTTTTTTGTCCAGTCATCTCAAGTAGCATCTCCTGATAATTGGTTCCATCCTCTGAAAACAACAGAAGTGTCTTGAATACCAATTTGTTTTGAACATATAATTGTGCAACACATACAAACAAAAACCGAGGTGGAGACAAACTCCTACATCCAAATTAAGGTTTATATTGCACTACTGCAATGTCTAATTCTAACGAATACTAATTAAAAATTAAGTTGCCCATTGAGTCAGATCCCCCTTTCAACGCTGTCTCGTCTAATTTAAAAAAAAGAAAAAAAAAGTAATTGATGGGTTGGTCAAAAACAATCTTTCTCGACTGGCTCGTCCAATTAAAAAAAAAAGTAATTGATGGGTTGGTCAAAAAATTTTATTGCACTACTGCAATGTCTAATTCTAACGAATACGAATTAAAAATGAAGTTGCCCACTGAGTCAGATCCCCCTTTCAACGCTGTCTCGTTTAATTAAAAAAAAAAAGGTAATTGATGGGTTGGTCAAAAACTATCTTTCTCGACTGGCTTATGAATAAGACGTTATTTTTGTCTTCTGTCATTTGTATCCTGACCTTCATATCCTTTTATGTCAATAAATCAACAAATAGAGAAATACGGTACACGGGTCTGAAACTACCAAAGTGTCAGCTAATCGTGAAAATGTGCCCTGAGAGAGTTCAAAATGACTCCACGTACAAGAATGCTACAGAGAAAAATAAATGGAAGTAAAAAAAAAGGCTGGTTGGTTAATAAATGCGGCTTAAGCGTCACTGTGTTTAGTAGCATGTTAGGATTCCTATTTAGTCACGTAGTGTTTTGATTATTTTTAGTCAATCGTCATTTTTTGGTGGGGTCTTCACCCCCCCCCCCCCAACTATCGTCAGTTTTTTGAACTTGCCGGCCCACTGTTGAGCAAGCTTGAGGTGTTAATACGCTGCAAATATCAAACGCCCTTTCACATTATGTGCTCGCGCCTCGGCTCGCGGCGGGCAGCGCCAAAGATGCTGAGTCATTGTAGGGATCCGCAGGAGGAAATGGATCTTACCCATGAGATCCAGCTCAACCACATTGCACTCCACTTTGAGTTCTTTGAACAAGTCTTTTACCTAGACACAGACCATTACAAAAACATTCATTCGGTATCCAGCAACACACGAACGCCATTAAACACACAGCCGAGTCTGAGTTGAAATATGAACAATGAATGGTGGTACAAGCTAACTCGAGATGCGAAATTTTCCATTACAAGAGTGGTGGTGGGGGGTACATGCCAGAAAATAGACGCAGCCCGTTTAGTTAGCGGTAGAGCATTCCAAAAAACGATACGACACGATCAAGTTTGGTCCCGATAAAACCAAATACCATACCGTCACACAATATGGACAATAACTTTTGCTGAAGACCACCACTCGGCTGGAGTCAATAAGCGATTGTATCCGACTCTTAAGTTCGTTCTTCCCGGTTTCATTTTCGATGGGAGGCATTTTCAAGGTGCAAATATTCCCGTCCAAGCCGTCAGTAGATGGCCGGTGCGCACGGAGGAAAAGTACAAGAAAAAATGTCGCAGTTTCTTGAGCTTTTCTTCAGAAGACCAAGCTGACAAACAACTGGAACGCTGCGCTGTCCTTTCCACCCGCTAAGAGCCCAAACCGCGCCTGAACTCGCCGACGTTACTCCCACTGGTTTATAGCCATCTGTATGGTGCGCTCGATTTGAAACACCTAGTCCACCGACCTGAATGTTATATGTTTGTCAACAATGACTCCGCCTACACGGCTAATCCTGATTTTCAAAACCAACCTATCTAACAAAACGTCACCGGGTTGCCGTGCAACATGCCATAAAAGCGCGACGACACTAAATTCCCTCGAAATGTTCGCATAAGATAAACGTGGAATATGATTTACTTACACGTTTGTCATAAAAAAACATCAGTTGGAGGAAAGTGTCATAAAGTTAAAAGAACCGACAACAAAACACCATTGAAGGCAACAAATGAATAGTTGGTATCTGGCGCCGTTTATTGGTCAGAATACGCAATGACAAATGACAGGCACTAACTTCCGGCATTTCTTAGACGGGAATATTTCAAATGATACTGAGCGTAACATATTTGACAAACCTTATTATAGAGGCGAAGTAAGTTAGTGTCATTTTATCTTATTTTTCAAACTATACATGAATATATAGGCCTGTATTTGCTTGATAGATAGATAGAATTATTCATCCACAATAGAAATTAACTGTTACAGCCATGCCCACAAACCACAACACAAAGCAAAGTAGGCTACTTAAATATTTATCGATACAAAAAAAAAACAAATGAAAACGATGAAACATTCAGCTTTATATATTAATTATTGCGCGTTTTATTCTTGTAAATTTGAAAACAAGTAACATACGAGTTTTCTCTGTATGTTTTGAATGTAAAGCTGACAATTTATTCCTCAAGGTTTTTATTTGCGTCACTTCGCTTCATCCGACGGACGAAATCGACGCGCATGCTTTTCAGGTGAGTGGATGGATGAGTCGAGGTTGAAGCCAAGTTTACTTTTGCAACAATGAATGTCAAACATTGTGGTTTCAACACACTGGAACATGCAGAGACATTCCATAATGACGACACGCCGTTAGTGATGTGAAGGAATTCACTCAAACTCGTGTGTGTGTGTGCGTGTGTGTGTGTCATTTGCCTTGTTGCTCCACCTCCATCGCCGCCTCAACTCACAAGGCAAGCGAACGTTGTCTTTCAAGAGGAAGCACGCGAGGCAGATTTTCTACCGTTGTAAGGCGAACCCGAGAGGACCATGGCCGAGAATAGTAAGATGGGTCCGAACCTGCAGGCCGGTGCTGGATTCCTTGCCAAAAGGGTCCAGAAGTCATTGAATCGCGCACAAGAAAAGGTGAGCTGAGGTACTACTGTAGTTGTCCAATGTGTCGAATCTCGATACGATACTTGGCTGTATTGTGTTGATGGGATCGCGGTTCAGGGGAAAGTACGATAGTTTAATTTAGTTTTTGCAAAAGTAGCAAGTGAAATATTTGCTGTTGTGCCTGGAATATGCCGATATTGTCTTTTTAATTGCAGTGACGAAACCAATTGTCCAGAATCGAATTGACCACGTTTGTGATCCGTGTCAGAACATCACAGCATTGTTCAGTACGGCACAGATGTGTTCCAACACACAAGCCACCATTTCCTGATTGTGAAGTTCCTCTGCGTTCTGTCTGAACTCTATAACACTAAGTTTGAGGTTGATTTGTTTGATAGAACAAGGTTGAAGCAAACACCCCCAAAGCTTTCGTGGATTACTGTTTGCTCACACTTTGCAGACCAAGTGTTATTTTAGTGATTCTGGCAGAGGTCTGATGCCTTGTTTCAGATTTAAAGGTGAAGGTCATGAGCAATGCCGGGAAGCAAACACTTGGCCGTTAAATATTTATTTGAGATGATGCAGAGACACCAACAGTGTTAGGGTATATACTTCGGGAGTTCATGATCAAAATTACAGTAACTTGACAGATCAACTCTTTCAATCTCCCATCAGGTGACATTCAAAAATTAAAAGCCTCACATCATAATACATGTTTATACCGGAGTCAGGAGTGGTTGAGTGGGACTAATTTGATTCTGTGTTGACATTGGCAGTTCTTGCTGAACGCAACAAAATCTATTCATGTTGTACCGTGAATTGGTACATTATGCTAATGGGGAATAATAAAATGTCTAAGGCATGCGAAGCACAAGCTAAAGTCCGTTAAAATCTCAACATTCTGTTCACGCAGGTCCTTCAAAAACTGGGCAAAACTGTGGAGACCAAGGATGAACATTTTGAGCTTTGCCTGCAGAACCTCAACAAACAGCAGGTACATAGAGTGGGCCCGCATTCTTTGGATCCAGTCTATTGTTACGTAATGTGAAAGATAGATAAAAGACAATTTACTGTCTTTGTCCTTTCAACTTTTTCAAGCGACAAGTTACACAGCACGCGATGGTGTCGAGCAATACCGTTTCCTGTTACTTACTTTTTGCTAATTTGTATACGAAAATGAGCTCCAAAACGTTTTATATTGGTACTACTACCGGAAATAAAATCTGTTGTCCTTTTAAAGCTGCTGTTTTTTTCCCTCTCCCACAAAGTCATTCTGTACCTATCCAAAAGGGTGTATTTTTATTGTTCATTTTGATGCCTTGCTGGCAAAGTCATGAGTATGAAGGGACTCCAGTTCCTTAAAGCACTTTCACTGGAAACATTCAAGTGAAGTGCATTTTGGAAGTACTACTTTCCATTGAGCAACAGGAAGGATGTTGAATGCTAACAACACGTGACAACTTTTTTCACTTCAGAATATTTGTCATCGAGGTGTCCTATTTGAATTTACAGCACTGAAGAGAGAACCTTTTGACGTTTTTTTGGGCTTCTATGTATTGTCATCTTGCAGAGACACGCTGTGAAGTTGGCAAGCGAAAGTTAGTTGTTTGTCCTTCTAATGCCAATTTGACGTTTAGGAGGCACTAATTGGTTTCCATAATTGGTTTGGCGGTTGAACGTCTCCCTTTGATCCAACAACAATAAGTCACGGGTGGCATCATAGGTAATTTCACACTCCCATTTAAAATGAGATTTTACACCACAATTAATATTACCTGGGACGAAAAGGTTGCTGTGGCCCCCTTATTTTTATTTATTTTTTTGCACACCACCGACATATAAATGGTGGTAGATAAAATATCAAATTATATTCATTGTTTTTCAGTAAATTCGATGAAATTGTGTGTGTGTGTGTGTGTGTGTTCATTTTCTCATTTATTTTTGTCTGCACACAGGTCGATGGAAGCAGGTTGCTTAAAGATATTAAGGCCTACTACAGTGCTGTGAAAGGCAAGTTTCCCGAGCATTAATTTATCTGCAGTCCATTCTTTCAACAAACGGAGACGTTCGGCTGAAATGCGACGATAGTGAGTAAATGGGAAGTGAATTTGAACTATTCTTGGAGCCTGCGGCTTGTTTTGCAATCATGTCTGCGTTGCCTCAGAGAAAAGTAAAAACAGCCTCAGCCTCTGGGATATTGTTTTTACGAAACGGTTTAACCGCTGGTTTGCTTATTGTTAATTGTTACTACGTGAGCTCCGGTCAGGAAGCAAGTGTGGGTTTGACCTTCTTCTCATTGTGGGCGAAACATTGCCGCAACCCTTGAAAACAAAGTGACTTTAATGCACCGAGTGCTGCAGATGCAAAATGGGACGGTGATCCGATATGTATTCCCATTTCCACAGCTGTACACGAGACATCGAAGCGGCTGTCTCAGACTTTGCAAGATGTCTACGAAGCTGACTGGAACGGAGTGGAGGACCTTGCCGTCATTATCGGAGTATTTTCATGATTTTGGTTTTCTTGAATTATCTGAAAAATGACGGCCTCGTAAAAGTACCGTATTACATTACAGTACTGTATTTTTCTTTTTCTGGGTTTTTTCCGCAAATGTGTATTCTCTGCACTTTCTGCCTTTTTTGTGGCCTGACCTTGAGCACTAAAACGGAATGATTGAGTTCATTCAATCACACGGCCTTGAAACGAACACAGAATCACCTGTTTAAAGTTGCCTATCTTGAGCAGCATCCTTATTTTTCTTTGCCCTTCTCTGAAATAATTGTTGCTATTATGTGTTTAAACCAGTTTTCAGTAGCCCCAAAGTGAACTCGAGCTAATCCGAAATCTTTCAGAGTGAAGATTTACTGTGGAACGACTATGAGGAGAAAATGAATGACCAGATTGTGCGCACCATGGAAAACTATACAAGCCAATTTCCAGAGGTCAAGGTATCCTTTGTGGCTGCTTTTTTTAAGATTAATTAATTACGGTAATTAATTATCTTTGCCTGCAGAACTGATTTCAGACACAAAATGAACATTTTGGGTTTCAGGAAAGAGTCGCAAAGCGTGGCAGAAAGCTGGTGGACTATGATTCATCACGTCATCACGTGGAAGCGCTGCAGGGTGCCAAGAAAAAGGACGATGTTAAAATAGCGAAGGTAGTCTTTGGGAGACATTTTCGCGACGGTAGCACATCCACTGTGGAATCTGTCTTGTTTACTAGGCAGAGGAGGAGTTCAACAAAGCCCAGATTGTCTTTGAAGAGATCAATAATGAGCTGAGGGAGGAGCTGCCTCTTCTATATCAGAGGTATGATTGTAGAGGGGGGGGATACACCTCATCTTTTTTCTCTTCTATTCCGGCAGGTTTTCGACTGTCTGAAACTAAAAGAAATATGACATTTTATCAAAAATATTTTTTTACTGGGCATTGTACAGCACTAGCTCTGCTCTTTTCACAGCAGCCGATTTGGTTTCGCTAAACCATAAATAGCGGGAATTTGATAGTTGGCATGATGACATCAAAATACTTTGTCGAAAGGTTGTCACGACAAACAATCCACCTTCGGAATTATCAAAACATTATGTGTATGTTCCTCATGCGTGCTGTATGTTGAATATTTTGGAGAATGGTTCCATTGAGATTCCCTATTGCCAGCATGACGATGATGATGATGATGATGTGCACTCTTCCTCCTCCGACTGTCAGTTTTGGCATCAGTCAGATAGACAATCAATCATTATGTCAACGTTAACCTGCAACAGGTTTTGACAATCATGTCATAGATCGCTCTTGAGAAAATATATCGCGTCTCTTTAATGTTACATCGTCTGTCAGAAAATGGCTTGAAATTGGTCATGTCCATTTGACATTGCCTTTCATACCCCCGGAAAAAAGGAATGTCAGTGACTCCCAAGTCAGGTTTCCAGAATGTATATCAGAACAGATGTCACGAGGATAAGCTGGACTGATAAATGTTATCTGTTTGTCTGTAGCCGCATCGGTTGCTACGTGACAGTGTTCCAAAACGTTTCAAATCTGAGAGATGTCTTCTATAAAGAAATGAGTGTGGTAAGACAAGGCCATTTTTCTCACAGTGATGTCGAGAAATATTTGACCGGAAAACCAAAGTTGTCTTTCAACGTGATGCTTTTGTGCAGCTGAACAGGGATTTGTACAATGTGATGAAGAAACTCGAAGATCAGCACTCTGGAAAAGCTTTCATCATAAAGGGTTTGACCAGGTGATATGTCAAGAATATGAAAAGTCAAAACAACAGTCCTCAAAGTCCAAAAGTTAACGCTGGTTTATCTTTGCGCAGCCCCGCAGGGAAGTCAAAGAAGAGAAAGTCCTTGGTGATCTCCAATCCGATCCCATGCAACACGGCTTTCCCATCTGATCACGTGTCCATCCATTCCACAGCCCAAAACGGGAAAAACGCTTTACCCACCTCTCCTGGTCCACAAACTCAACGCAACGCCGGCGAAATCAGTATCGTCGAGGATAGTAGCGTCCCGACCAAAAGCGGCCAATCCTCAGAGTCTGACCTGAGTTCCTGTGGCACCAACACACCCAAAAGGCAGTCGGTGTGCATCAGTGAGCCCGGCGAACAGAGCGCGACAATTGAAAGTCTCGAGGAGGCCGAGGCGGTCGCCGGACTATCGACGAATCAGCCGGATAACTCCGGCGTGGCGAAATCGGACGTCGCGGGTCAAGAAACATCCACCTCCTCGGATGGCGAGGGACGTGATGCGCCCCTCGTTCCCGAGCAGGAGGAAAGTGCAAGCCAAGCGCCGTCAGAGGAAGAAGCCAAGACCAATACGGCACCGGTTCCCGCCCCCCGTCTATCTTTCCGCTCAGAGAAAGGTCCTCTGCTGCCCGCTGAGGAGCAACGGGAAGAGATGGAAGGAGCATCGGACATCAAGGAGACGGCGGGCTCACGTGACGACTGCGACAGCCATTTCCCACCTGGCTTTCTGTACAAGGTAGAAAGGCAGCTGCGTCAAATCATACTCACCGGTCACCCGTTTTAGTCCTCAAACTGGAAGAAAAGTTTTCAGAAAATGTCGTTCATCCCCGTGCAGAATTTATTTTGGAGAATGAGAATCTCAACACTGGTTAAAGAAGTAACTAATAGCGATGACGTTGGATTTGTGTAATTCGAGCCAGCGGTCCTGAATGTTGACTGATGTGACCTGTGCTTCACACCAGGGGGTGGCGCTAAAGAGCCACGCAGCGTCTGAAGGTGGCCAGCTCCAGTTTGAACAGGGAGAAATAATTCTGGTGTTTGCCGACACGCAGCAGGTCTGTTTCGAAATCCTTGTCAGCTATTTTATCTTTCCTTTCACAACATTGTAAGCCGTCAAAGCAAATAGACCGCAAAGCTCTGAATGGGTAGCATTTCATTGTTTTGTTTCTTAATTGCTTTCGGGGTGCCAGCCCAATTCAAATGAATGACCAGATGAGAGTCACAAACATGATATCTGATAGGTGTCTTGTGTTTATGGATGATGTGTGTGTCTTGCAACAGGAAGGTCTGTTGAAAGGAGTTCGGGAGGAGAGCTGGCAACTCTACAGAGATCTAGAAAATCACGCTGGGACTTTCTCAGAAGACCTCATTGGGCCTGTTGAGAAAGATTGACGCAATACAGTATTCGCTCCTTCCTCCCATGAGTAGTTGAGTGACTCATGTGTATACACACACACACACACACACACACACACACACACACACACACACACACACACACACACATATGTGCGCGAGCGCAAATGGTCCAAATTGTTTTGGGTGTGGAAGCTGCACAAACAAATCTTCCAAGTCCTCTGTGGATACTTCGCATGTTTTGATGTTGTAACTTGTGGAACAAAATGAACTGCGAAGTTGAACTGAATTTTTGTAGAGACTCTTTGGATAACTCAAGTGAACACTTTTTAATATTTTCAGTGTTTGTATTTTTATTCTTCTCATGGAACACTGTGAAACCGTTTTTTTTTTTTTTTTCTAAATGCAGTTTGTAATATTTGTCAATAAAGGTCAAGTTGAAGAAAAGCTTATCTGGTTCGTGGGTGGCTACTTAGTACAAGCTTAGTCACATGACCTGAACAATCCGCTGACATCCAGTTGCAAAGCTCAAATGAAAACGCTGTCCTAAACAAAGCATGTATATATCCCATCTACAAAAACTCATTTTCCACTCTATTGCCAGTCTTAAATACAAGGTGTCACTAGGCTGTGTCATCAATGGTATGAATAAATGTCAGCCACGCATGTCCCAACCCCGGTTCCCGAGCAGGAGGAAAGTGCAAGCCAAGCGCCGTCAGAGGAAGAAGCCAAGACCAATACGGCACCGGTTCCCGCCCCCCGTCTATCTTTCCGCTCAGAGAAAGGTCCTCTGCTGCCCGCTGAGGAGCAACGGGAAGAGATGGAAGGAGCATCGGACATCAAGGAGACGGCGGGCTCACGTGACGACTGCGACAGCCATTTCCCACCTGGCTTTCTGTACAAGGTAGAAAGGCAGCTGCGTCAAATCATACTCACCGGTCACCCGTTTTAGTCCTCAAACTGGAAGAAAAGTTTTCAGAAAATGTCGTTCATCCCCGTGCAGAATTTATTTTGGAGAATGAGAATCTCAACACTGGTTAAAGAAGTAACTAATAGCCTAATAGCGATAACTTTGGATTTGTGACTGATGTGACCTGTGCTTCTCACCAGGGGTTGGCGCTAAAGAGCCACGCAGCGTCTGAAGGTGGCCAGCTCCAGTTTGAACAGGGAGAAATAATTCTGGTGCTTGCCGACACGCAGCAGGTCTGTTTCGAAATCCTTGTCAGCTATTTTATCTTTCCTTTCACAACATTGTAAGCCGTCAAAGCAAATAGACCGCAAAGCTCTGAATGGGTAGCATTTCATTGTTTTGTTTCTTAATTGCTTTCGGGGTGCCAGCCCAGTTCAAACGAATGACCAGATGAGAGTCACAAACATGATATCTGATAGGTGTCTTGTGTTTATGGATGATGTGTGTGTCTTGCAACAGGAAGGTCTGTTGAAAGGAGTTCGGGAGGAGAGCTGGCAACTCTACAGAGATCTAGAAAATCACGCTGGGACTTTCTCAGAAGACCTCATTGGGCCTGTTGAGAAAGATTGACGCAATACAGTATTCGCTCCTTCCTCCCATGAGTAGTTGAGTGACTCATGTGTATACACACACACACACACACACACACACACACACACACACACACACACACACACACACACATATGTGCGCGAGCGCAATTTTTTTTTTTTTTTTCTAAATGCAGTTTGTAATATTTGTCAATAAAGGTCAAGTTGAAGAAAAGCTTATCTGGTTCGTGGGTGGCTACTTAGTACAAGCTTAGTCACATGACCTGAACAATCCGCTGACATCCAGTTGCAAAGCTCAAATGAAAACGCTGTCCTAAACAAAGCATGTATATATCCCATCTACAAAAACTCATTTTCCACTCTATTGCCAGTCTTAAATACAAGGTGTCACTAGGCTGTGTCATCAATGGTATGAATAAATGTCAGCCACGCATGTCCCAAAACCAAATGAGTGTCTTCGGGAATCCACGACACACCGCAGGGATTAAGTTACTCATCTGGCCGGTGAACGCTTTGTGGGTCCCACAGGAGGAGTGTGTACTGCCAACATCTGTGTTACGTTATCGTCACTCCTGCAACCACAACCCAATTCCGGAAGTGTCAGTTCTGGTCTTGTTAATTGCTGAAAAGTGTTGACTAGATTATTTACATTCACAACAGACACAGCCGACACACACCTCGAACAACTATTCTACCTTTATTAAAATAAAAATGCTTGAATGCATATTCAACAAAAGCACACAAATGTACTTTTACTAAGCTGTATAGTTTATTTGGGACCAACCCAACTGGGATTTGGACCATGGCGAAGTTCTTGTTCCCGTAATACATCAATGCTCATGAAATGAGATTCCTTAATACGAGACCGTATTATTCATGGAATCATAAAAGAGAAACAATGGTCTGTCAGAAAGATTTTACCTGTTGGTCCGATTAAAAATTTGGGATTTCAGGCCAAGCAATTTGCAGTGTGCAGTGTCGTTCATGTCAGAAGAAGGATGATGGCAGTGATGAGAATTATGCTTTTGTGTCGTTATTTTCAATGGTGCCTTTACTTCCTCTCACATAAAAAAACAGCATGTTTCTTAGGTTAATAGAGGGCTAGATTCACCTTCGGTGGCAACGGTTATTTTTCTATGCTTCCAAGGTCAGCCGGGATAGGCTGTAGCTCATGATGGACGAATGAAGCTTCATGAAGCACTTGGACACAGTATATGGACAAGTGTGCTTGAGCACCCCTAGAGGAAATATCCGAGAATCACACCAACATGTGTTATATTTTTTTTCAAATACTGTAACTGAAAAACAGTGTTGATTCCACTGTCATCATTTGGGAATGTTGATCTTCTATCATTATAGCTGGGGACCGTAACGCCCAGTACAAGATTTATGACTTGGTGAGCGAAAGCAACAATTACAGTCAGAAATAATCTGTTAGAAATTTCTCCTGCCCTGCCAGTTATGCATGAATCACCTGTCAATCTGCACCTTCAGCTCCAACAGGATGGAACAAAGCTGTTGATAGGCGGATTCCTCTGGGCTTTCCAGGTTTACTCACCGTCTTTCCAGCCAAGACCCAAAATATGTTCTTGCTGTGCCTTTTCAGTTCTCTATTCTTCATGGAATAAAAGCGGAACAAAAACAAGTCATCAGATTTCCATTCTCACCCCTGTATCAGACAAGAACCTTTTTTTTTTATTCCACAAAGCAAAATGGGGATGAGATGAAAATGAATGATCCAATAAAATGCAACTGAAATCCAAGTATTGCATGACACTTTTTTTTTTTTGCACTAATTGTCACACTTGGTACATTCAACGTCATTCAACGCAAAATGAAAACATGTGGTACAAAGTAGATGTGGAATATTGAGTCAAACTTGATATTGCCAAACAGGCTCGTTTTGTGAAATCATGTGCAACAAACAAATGGTGTTTGAGTGGAAATGCTACTATTCAATTCTGAGGTGTTATTTTCAGTTTCACAATTGATAGTCTACATGGGTTCACTTTACATTCTGTTATGCATTGCTTTATGAAGAAGTAGCATGTTTTGACAATCAGAAATATCAGCCAATTGCCCAATATCACGCCGCCCACAAAAACAACACTGCATTTAACATTTAGGACTCAGTGCACACCTGGCGCCATGCGCTCCAGGAACTGTGTGCAGGGGTGAGCTAGACTATGTTTTGGTATTTTCGCAGACACGTGCAAGCCAGTGTAGCGTGACACTTTTTTTATTTTTAAAGAGCCATTGTGTGCTGTTGTCGATTTGATTCGCCCTCAACTGAAGCGGTTCCTCTTAATCCCGATAAATGCCTCGCGCAACGATCACGCTGATAGCTCCTTACATGGTGACACTGTTTTGCTCGAGTCTTGTGGCAAGTTGAGGCTCGCAAGCACATTTATAAGCGATTGCAGTGCATGGGCCGATGATGAAAAGTTGGCCAGGGAGATCACAGATCTGTAAAGTGGGCGCTGGGAGACAGTTTGTCCATTTGAGAAAAATAAGGTTGAGCAGGAATTAAAAGAGATCGCCAAACCCCGGATTGCTGAATTGGTTGCAAGGTGTGCCTAATTCTGTTTTCCAAACACAGTAATGCTGGTCATGGTAGCCCCACATTAAAATCCATCACTTAAAATATCAATGTAACCTGCTGTGTGCAGTCTGTGGTGTTATTGAGAAGCTCCACCCCAAATGAGGTCGCATTGAGGCCCTTCCCTCTTTGACTTTTCTGTTCTCCACATTTCACCATTGACTCTCTGGATCATTGCACGGTGCCTGATCGAGCTGCAAGGAGCTCTCACGACATCACTTTATGGTTAGACCCAAAGTGTCGTGCGCACAGAACGAGCTCGGATGATGTGTTTTGCGCGACAGCTACTCAATGAAACAGACGCACAAAAGGAGAGATGGGCACCTTTTCTGCACCTCCATTTACGCGGCTATGGGGAAAACGTCCATTCGCCGTGCTGCTAGTACCCGCAGTGGTTGTGGTTCTGAGCCACTTTTGTGAGGCTTTTAATCTGGACACGGAGAATCGCGTCGTTTTCGCCGGACCACGGGGGAGTTATTTTGGCTATTCGGTGGAGTTCTTCAGCAGCAACTCATCCAGGTTAGACTCAATATTTCATCAGCTGGAGGAAAATGACAGATTTGTCCGTGTTTTAAACCATATGGAAAGTTGAACAGCATTTATGACAGTTTCTTGTAATCCGGTTGTGATTTTTTGTTTTGTCCTCTGCCGCTAAATCTTTTTTTTTGTCGCACCATTGTTCATTCATTGCATGTGACCAATGTATTTTCACACACCTTTCCACTCATAAACTTCGCAATTTAGCAAAGTGAAGTGAGTTGAAAGGAATCGTATCTGTCCTTCATGCGCACACGTGCGCCCTCGGTGCGCGCGCCCATTTACACGCACGCACACTCACGCGCGCGCAACTCCAGATTCCAGTCCAAGAGTGATTGGAAACAGACATGCACGTCTGTCTGTGAGTGATGTTGCACTGGTTGAAACTGCAGAGAAGCAAGTCATTAGCCTCTCTCTTGCCAATGTTTTGTTCGAACTTTGAAACGTTGAATATTCTCTGGTTGTACATCATCAGGATTATGAAATCACTATTTAGGAGTCACCTCGGGTTTGTCTCAGCTTTGTCTGACGGTACTTTGACACCTGTGGTGCGCATGTGAGTATGTGTTGAACATTTGGACACATTCGGTTGGTTTCTCAGCATTGCCGTCATGGAAAAGAAATTTGGCGAATGCTTATATGAACTCAATTTTAGATTTGGCCACAATGCAGATATGAAGCTTCCTTTAGCGTAATGACTATTGGATTTCTTTTTCATTGAGACAGTGCAACTGTGCTGTTGTGTGTGTGTGGAGCGGACTCGTGGGCATATACGTTTCATTGAGACAGTGCAACTGTGCTGTTGTGTGTGGAGCGGACTCGTGGGCATATACAGTACTGTATACATATTTTTTTTCCTATGAACTCGACCAGTTGACCAGACGAGCATGTAGAGATTGGAAGGGCCGACTGGTATGGACTACCGGTAATTTTGAGAATGCTGAATCAGAAGCATTTGGTGGCTTGCTGACATGGAATGATTTAGCTCGTGACCGTCCAATGTGAATCAAACCATTCTTGCAGTGTGCTCGGTAAACAGGACAACAGGAAGAGGCTGCTTTCCAGCATGAGAATGTGTTTATTCAACTCAAGAGGATAATAGGTTGCATCTGCTGCAGTAGACACATCCAAGTCATGTCTAAGATGTAGTTATGTTTTTTTTTTCGAACTAAAATAGATTAAAGAAATGAGAGAAGTCGTAATAAGGAAGCCAAGACCCACACTGGGCTACAAATCGTATCAGCTTGATTTTCATGCATTTTCACTGGACTGGAATTAGGTCAGGGAATAATAATTTTGCCTGTCAACAATGTTATGTTAAAGTCTAACAACAGCATGTTATAAAATATATTTTAGCCATGCTGTCACCAAATACACTCCTGTCAAGTAGTCCGTTCACACCTGAACTCACGTGACCCTAACAACTCTTGTCACTGTTACTTCAAACCACCTCAAGTGACCCCCTTTGACCCGAAAAGTGTCAACAAGCCCTGAGAAGTTAATCATCTTGACTGAGTCAAAGTGAGCAGGCAGTAAAATAAGAATCAAAACATTTGCACCATTGCCTACTGTTGAAACTTGACAAGAAACTATTTGGAGCGGGAGCAATTTGGCTGACTGAATCAAAAATCATAAATCCTATCAGAACACCATTCCTAAGTAACTAAACTAAAAAGTGTAAAAAGAACTCAAATAGTAACCATCAAATAGAACTAATATGTTTTAAAGCAATTGGAAAGCTGATATGGAATGAATTGCATTGTTCCCGTTGCACTGAGTGGCTCAGACGCATTTCGATGTTGTTTTGTCACTTCGATGTTTCTGTGGTTGTCACTCTTCCTTCACATACACGCGTACACATGCACAGGTCACGGGGTGTCATCATGGATGGGGATTTAAATAGAAAATAAAATCTGCGTCTTCGTTCCCATCAGTCCGCCCCAGAGTGCTGCGAGGTTGCCGAGCGTCACCATGGAAGTGGAAAAATCCAAAAATAATGGAGGAAAAATTGTCCTCCATTGGGACTGGGGCATTGTGCTGCTGTGGCCGCCACAATTCTGCCGACGGCCGGTTAAATTTCATATCAGAGCCACATGGACAACCGCCACTCACAGGAAAGCTCGTTTCAGTGTCAAATTAAGGAGAACAGCGGACCAGTCGGAGCAAAGCTTGTTCACATTTTTTGCTTTTTAATGAGACAATTTCCCCTTCAAAATGACAGGTGGGGAAATCCAGCTGAAATCGTTTTAGAAAATGGCATCAACCGAAATTCTCTTGCAAACCCCAACAAAAGGACATCAATGATTATTAAAAAAAAAAAAAAGAATCAAAACAAAGGTGCGGCATTGGACCTTTATATGCACAGCGGCATATACAGTAGCGGATTACTTTGAAAGACTTCACAAGGAATATGTTTTTGTCTCTTCCTCATAAATGAGAGGTTTTATCCCCGGCTTACTGATGCCGTAAAGCTAGTGAGCTTCAGAAGCTATTTAAAATGACTCAATTCGTATTCCTGCTCCTCCGGGAAGATGGGGCGGCTGGGAGTCCAGATTCCCGTCTGATATCTGGTAACGTCATTAGCCACCATTATCGAAAGTTGTGCTATTCGCTTTAGGAAATTTAGTATGGAAGCATTGGAAATCTTGGTTTGTAAAGTGAACACATGAAATTACGTACAGTATACATCATGTGAATGCATCTCGAGGTGATTTTGATGAACCTTTTTGTTGTTTTCGAATCAGCCACGAAAGACCTCACACCATCAAATTAAAAGAGGTGTTGGCCCCAAAAGGAGAAATAGGCACTGATGTACATATTCGAACTCCCGCATATTATCCAGTGGGCTATAGGCTAATGTTTTTTTCATGAACATTGTGTGGTCATCGAAAAGCCAAGGAAACTCATGATTGATCGCCTGCCACATCTCCCCATGCTAATGGGAAAATAATGGAAATGACTCTTCCGTATGTGAAGGAGGTTTCTCTTCTGAATCGGTTCTTCAGCACACCGTGATTCTGTTCTTCCTCTCCGCTGCGCAGTGTGAGCCTTTTGATTGGTGCTCCAAAAGCTAACACCAGCCAGCCTGGAATCGCCGAAGGAGGAGCCGTCTTCCTGTGCCACTGGAGCCAAAACAACTGCAGCATTATCAACTTTGACCAGAACGGTAGAGTGTCGTGTCAATTAAGCCGACATGCGTGACTTCACCTTTACAACATGGGAAAGTACCACCTGCGAATATTTACAGGATCATATTTACCCAGCATCACCATCAAAGCGCTGGCTTATCTTTTCAAGTACACATAACATGTTCCCGAATGTTACCGTTGAAGAGAATGGACATGATGTCAACTCAGCTGTGTGGAACCATCCATGTTATAATTTCCTCAAAAGACTTATGGGAGCGTCTTGAATTAGCTGCAGGTCGGAAGTGTGGCACCCTGCCATTTTGAAGTCTCTAATCCGGTCGTTGTGTTTGGATCGAAACCGGTCTTTGATGTCAGTCCGATGTGTTTGGATCAAGGCCTGATGGCAACGGATTATGTCCGCCGTGTTTCCACAACCACCGCGGCTTCCAATTGGACTCTAGCTGAGTGTTGCGCGCAAATTAGGCTCGAGTCACCACTGGGGGAAGGACCCCGAAGGGTCGATGCTGTGCCCCCACCCCGAAAAAGATAATCGCCTCCAGCAGAATGGCAGGAAGCCATTACGGGCCAGCACTGGAGGATGACGGGCTCTCCCTAATTTTACACACTCACACCATATTGTATGTATGCAACATTTCCTGTCAGACAGAATGCACTTTGACAAGTTTTCGCCGATAAGCTGTCGTCTACTTTTCCGCATTCAGACCTTGGAAGATGAACGAGCCACATGACACCAATTGGGCACACTTTGTACATTTTGGCTCAGTGGCGTACTCACTTTGCTGTTTGTTGAGTGATATTATTTTATTTTTTTTAGGGGACAGAAAATGTTATACGAGAGACACGCTGACTACTTTGCACTGATTTTGAATGACTTTGTCCTCCTTTGACTTTTTATAGGTGATCAGTATTTCTATATAAACAACGAGAACACCCAAGTTGAGTTCAAGTCGCATCAGTGGTTTGGAGCGACTGTGCGTTCCCATGGCAACAATATTCTGGTAAGATTCGTGCCCCGGTGGCTGGTCTTACTTCGGTAGTTGAGCTTTGTGGGCCTTTTTAACTTTCAAAAGAAATCGTTAATATGATGTTCAAACTCACACTCGCACACACACACCCTCGGTTCAATGGCGAGGATGTTTTTTCATGTCTTTTGAGAATCCAGGGATTCAGTCCCAGGTACGTCTTTGTGCATTTACTCTTTTTTTTTCACACAGCAGGGTAGACAAGGGTCTGAAAATGGCTGGCACTAAATGAGTTAAGGAGACAAGCGAATAAACCCCTGCTGTACTTTTACGTTGCTCATGCTGCTATTTTCAAGAAATGATGCGTGAAAATGTCTCATGACACACAAGGCATTCATTTGGTCTTTTGTCCAAGACTAGTTTCAAATGATACTCACACTGCAATCTGCCCACTGACATTTCAGAATGTGGAAGTAACCGATGATCCGGGTGCTCTGGATGAAGAAAAAAAAGAAAGAAAGAAAGAAGCAAAAGTGTTTTGGATTTATTTAGTTATTTTTTATCCCATCTGTGCCTTTCAGGCTTGTGCTCCGCGGTATTATTGGAGGAGCGAACATGACATCCCCCTTGCTGATATGACGGGAACTTGTTACCTCTCTGTGGACAGCCTCAAATCATTTGTGGAGTACGCCCCCTGTCGAACAGGTGAGGTACTACAAAATTGGCAATTTTAATTAAAACCGCGGTGAGATAAAGAATGTGTTAGTGTGCAATTGTGATCCAACGGGAATCACTCAACTCGGTTAGAATCGAGTGGCCACGCAGCCAATGAAAAGCTTTTTTTTTTTTTTTTTTTTTTAAACAACTTTCCTCCACAGCACTTAACTGCCACTCTCACTTTGAATTCGAACTTGAGCACTACTGGCCCAGCTTAATAAACCGAGCACTCACTAACTTGGGTCATGAATGTGATGTTTTGAGAAGAGCGTGACCAAAGGCACCCGAGATGATTGTCCAAATAAATTAGCCGAGTAACTTTGAATTTTTCTGATTGCAACCCCAGATGCAATGTTTTGACATCATCACAAGCTTTGTGTCAACATGTCGTTTTACTTCCCTTAATAACAGGACGGCGTGGGGGGGCGGGGAATGTGTTTTTTTTTATCTTTTGGCTGCAGAAAGACATGGACCCGCAGGACAGGGCTATTGTCAAGGAGGATTTAGTGCCGACTTTACAAAGGTAAGAGCAATATTTGTTCTTCATCCCAAAGTCATTGTTTGGGTTTGGACAGAAATAGCCAGTGGAGATTCAACCGAATTTCAAGGCGTACAAGAGTTTATTGTAACTTTTGAAGAAACGTGGTTTCTCACAAATTCCTGCTCTTTTGTGTATCAGGACGGAAGGGTTGTTCTTGGTGGACCGGGCAGCTTTTACTGGCAAGGTGAGACAACTGAAATGCATCAGAAAACTCTTACCGGTTGCAACAAGCCTTCCTTCGTTGAAAAGCCCGATAAGCCATTTTACCGATGATGTTCTAGGTCAGCTGATATCGGCCACGCCAGACCAGATTGTTAAGGCCTACTACCCTTCATATTTTTTACTGTCGGTTGCTGGGCAGATTCAAACGGGACAGGTGCAGGGAAGTTACGACGACAGTTACCTGGGTGAGAAATTCTGATCTGAGCCCTATCTTTCTTTGCGATTCCGTCGGGAAAGATTTAAGCCTGCCGCAGGGTGTTTTGCGACCCGCTCAAATGTGACTCATCTCACGACAGGTTATTCCGTGGCTGCTGGCGAGTTCAGTGGGGATGATGAGGAAGGTGAGCGTTACGTTGACGGCGTCGAGTCGGAAAACACACATGGGTGGATGGTTTGTTGACCCTCTCGGCTCGAAAAGCACTTACCGTATTTTCCGCACTAAAAGGCGCATCTCAAAGCCTTCCATTTTCTTAAAAGCTCACAGCGCGCCTTAAAATCCGATGCGCCTTGTGTATGGTCACTACGATAATATGTCGATCCCCAAAATGGCTCCTTGCTAGAGACATGCTTACAACGCGGAGTTCAAACTTAAGGCGATCGGGTTACGCAGTTGAACACGAAAATAGAGCAGCGGCAAGAGAGTTCAACGTTAACGAGTCAATGTTATAACTTGCTGTCGGTGAAGTGAACTGTGTCGCTGCTTTATTAAATACGTTTCACTGACATCTGATCATTCTGTTGGCCCTTCCTTGATCGTAGCGCCATCTAGTGGATACATTGTAGATTGCGTCTTGTAATGTGGTGCATCCAATATGTGAAAAAAATGACAAAATAGGCCATTCATTGAAAGTGCGCCTCATAATCCAGTGCACCTTTTAGTATCTCCTGCAATTCTGAAATCCGGGAGAGGAGCGGATGGAGGGGGGGGGGGGGGTTCCCAGAAAAGTGCAAACATTGTTTCAGGCTTCCGTTAACGGTTCTAACCTGCTGCTACTCGCTGTCCTTGTTGCAGATTTCATCACGGGAGTTCCGAAAGGACTCATGCTGTATGGTTTAGTAAGGAGTACAACTAAATGGATTCATTTATTCGATTGGTGAATGCAGAAGTCCATCTCTTTTAGCCCTCACGAGCAATAATTTGTCATCAATATCTGTCTCATAGGTGTCCATATTCAACGCACGTGATCTGAACTCACTGCTCAACGTGACAGGAGAGCAAGTATGTACAATTCCGGCGGAACTTGAGCAAGTTTCCGTCCATTACGCCTTGTCGATTTTTCCACAAATAAGTCCGTTGATTCAGCGCGAGCGAACCTCGTTATCGATGTTTGTGTTTGTCATGGGCTTGCACCCTTCGTCTTCCCATAAGTCAGCTCATGAGCTGAATATAAGACCATGTGAGCAACCTGAAAGCATGTGCGTATTTTCCGTCTTTGGGCCGTCAAGAAGCGTCGGTTTCAGCATGAACTGTTGTGTTGAATGGCGTGACGTTGGGGCCGATAGACTCTCTGCGGGTGAATTCTCTGCTCTGTCGGCTCCTGGACCGAATTGTTAAAGTCAGCTGCAAAAATACCTCGGGCAGAAGCCCCTGTTGGCGGATGAAACCTCAGATTGCGTCCGTTGTTCTGACCCGCTTTGAACTAAGAGCTGTGGAATTTGAACTGCTTCGGTGTTGCGAGCCGATGAGATGTCAGTTTTTTTTTTTGGTCACAGCGTAACTTTCTACTGTTGAATATACAACGCAGGTGGGTGCTTACTTTCACACCATTGTGAGAAGTCCTTTGAGGAATTGTTGGTCAATTTAGGTCCGGCATTCAGAGTGCTGCTGAATATAAAATACGTGTTTGTTTCCAAATAGGAAATCTTTTTTTTCTTTTGGGTCAATATTGCATTCGTCTTTCTATTTTCGACTGCTTATCCTGTTCAGGGAGACGCAGAGCTGCAATCGCTCCTCGCTGACGTTGAGGAAGAGGCCAAGCCGATTTGGGAACAAGTGACACCGTAAATGTGGCACTATTTCCAAACAAACAAAACAATCGACAAAAATCCAAAAGTTTGAGGCCGCATCCAGACAACATTCGTGTCAACCCTTTCCAGGAAGTGGTGGTCATATTTCACGCAATGGGTATGAATTCAGTGAAACGGTGCTCATATGATGTCTCGGTAGATTTTTGAACTTTTGCCCTTTGCCCCCCCATATGAGTTGCTCCGCATGCTGGCGACAGTAAGTCAATCTCTGCTGTTAAAGGCTTGTCTTTCACCGCGGCCTCTAATCGGATTCGTGTGTAGACAAGCAACAAATCACCTTGAGTTGAATCAAACAGGGATGAAACGCAACCCCGATTGGTCATGTGAAGTATGAAATTGAAACAGATGAACTGAGCTAAATGAGTTCAGCGTCTCAGGCCAGCGCCACCTTTTCTCATCTTTACAGAAGCTCGAAAGGTTCGAGCTGCTTGGAAATGGGAGACGCGGGCACCCCAGGGCATTGTAGGATGGAGAGATTTAAAGGGAAGCCTCTTGGGTTGAAGTTCGAGGGTACAAAAGAGAGGGCATGGAGAGAAAATAAAGAGATCTATGCAGAGTGATGTAATTAGAGACTAACTGAGTCTTGTTTTTAATGCTTTCCAGATGGGGTCCTACTTCGGCTATGCAGTGGCAGCCACCGACATCAACAATGACGGGTGAGTACATGGAGTGACTGCGTGCAGATGTTGGAAAGATGCGAAAAAGAGGGGAAAAAACGGGGGGGGGGGGCGGATGAGGAAAGGGAGAGAAATTCAAGATGGGATTAAGAAATTAAAGTTCAGACTTTATTACCGAGGTCAAGCATGAAGGCAATTTCCCACGCTAGCCGAGTCGCTGCGTCACTCATTTCAATGTGTCGTCTTTTTCATTCAATCTTTTTCCCCCAAATTTTGGTCAAGCCAGCATCTCCACCTTTCGAGGAGATGCTGGGCAGTTAACCACAAGAAAGGCAGAAAAAAGAGCTGCCGTGGTTTAAGAGGCCAGATTTTCACCTTCTCTGCTTATTGTACACGAGTCTCTATTAATATCACCCACATCTTTGACGAGTGTATGCGTACATTTCCTCCGACTTGCTCCCCAGACTAGATGACCTCGTGGTGGGCGCTCCGATGTTCATGAGTCGGGGGTCCAACGGGCGGCTGGAGGAGCTTGGCAAAGTTTACGTTTACCTCCAGAAGGGACCGTTGCAGCTGGAGCCCGGCCGACCGCATCTCGTCGGCCGGCAGCCGTTCGGCCGCTTCGGCTCTTCGCTGGCGCCTTTGGGGGACCTAGACCAGGATGGATTTAACGGTACCAGCGTCAAATGACGTCTTTGCTCTTTACGTCGAAGTCTGACCGTCAACTGTGAGTGGGAGCTCATCGGTGGGTTTCAAAATAAAAGTGTCATTCTCAATGTGAAGGGGGGGGGGGCGGCGGCGGGGTGGACTGAGTAAGTGATGTGTCGTTGGGACTGACACACACTTTGTGGTCGATTGCTTTGCTCTGCTCCGCTGGCTCTTGGACTGAGCTGCTGAAGTCAGCTGCAAAAATACGTCAGGTGGCAACCGGGGAAAACTACAGTGCCTTGTTTAACCGTTGCTTAGAGACACTTGCCCGGCCACTCGGCTTAGTCTTTCGCCGCTCAGTCAAAACCATCCCAGGCACCAATGAAAATATTGGCGTAGGCCTGCCCACCAGGCACAATTGAATCCCTACTCTGTCTAAAACAGAAAATACATGTTGGACAGACGCTGCGATCCGTTAAAGTGCTGCATCGTTGTTGTTTTTCATCTGCTCAATGTGGAAGGCTTCTCTGTGCTTATGACTCATGCAATAATTTGGATGCTGGTTTTCGAGGACCGGTATGCAGCTTTGTTCCAGGGACTTGACGGAAAGCCGAATCAAATATATCACGAGACACCAAACGCAGCAAATGATCACTACTCTGTTCCTTTTTCTTCTTTCAAACATATTGTCAGTCAGTCCTCGTGCATGACGTGGATTCTGGTCCTCACTGCGAGCTGCTTTACAAATTTCCCGTTGTGTTAAGAGTGGTAATTGCGTAAAACGAGCAAAAATCAACAAGCCGCTTCATATCGTGCGCTCCTTTGTGTTCACTATCAGATATGGCCATCGGCTGTCCTTACGGAGGAGAAGAGCAACAGGGACTGGTTCTGATTTATCACGGCGATGCGAACGGCTTGAAGGACACGCCCACTCAGACTCTCTCTGGCCACTGGGCCTCCAGCTCCTTCCCCTCCCACTTTGGTTTTGCGCTACGAGGCAACACGGATCTGGATCTAAATGGCTACCCAGGTCCTGCGTCGCACCCTCTGGGCCATATTCAACAGAATTCCCCTCTTGGATGGCTCACTTTCTTTCTCAAATGTCCTTTCGTTGCAGACCTAATTGTCGGTGCTTTTGGAGCTGACAAATCCGTGCTGTTCCGGTGCGTTGAAAGCATATGCCAGCGGGATAGGTTCATCCCCGCTAACTGTTTTGTTGTTCGCTGTGTCGTGTGTCTTCACTCAGGTCTCGACCAATCGTGACTGCAAGTGCATCTCTCGCTGTACATCCAACGATGTTCAATCAAGATGAGAAGCTCTGTGAGCTTTCCACGAGGAGTGGAAGCACTTCTGTGTCTTGGTAGGACCACCTACTGCTTTCCTCCACAACGCGGCTATCCAAAGTAACTCATAAAAAAAAAAAAAAAAAAAAAAAAAAAAATGGTAGGACGCAAGGGCCTTTTGAAAATTCTTCAACTTGAATTTGAACGGGAAAATCAATGGAGTCACAAAAATGAAATACAGTTTGTATTTTCGAATGAATTTGATCAACTGCTACATCACAGCTTTCTGTTCAAGGCGATAAGGCACATAAGCGAAGTATTGTTCAAGATTTTGGGGATGCTCATAAATAAAGCCTTGTTGAGTGGAAGAAACGATTTTTGCTTCTCACATGAAATTGTCTTTAATTTGTCTTTCTTTGGTGGCCGTGTCAAAAGTCAGTTTTACTATATGCCGCGGGCCACTGAAAAATAGACGCAGGGCCGCAAAGGGCCCGGGGTCATGGTTTGGACACCTCTGCTTTAAAACTTGATATGCTGTGAATACAGTATGAGCACAATTACACGTAAATAGTGTTTTTTTTTTTTTTTCCCTGTTGCGGAAGTCTTACTTACTTCTTCAACCAAAAGCTCCGTTGTTTAAATAGAGGTCTGGAAATAACCAAACATGGAAAATATGACGATTGTTATGTAACACCTGTCACACTTCTATTTCAGTTCTTTCAAGTTTCCCCTCACGAGAACGTCAAATGAGTTTGCCGATTTCCTGTCCAAGCCGTTCTTAACTAGAAATGCAGAAGCATCGCATTCTGAGAGCAAGAGGAGGAAGAGGAAAGTTATCCAACCAGCGTTCCAAAAAGTCGCGTTTAAGCCTTATGAAGCCTAACACAGAATTAGGCAACTGCAAAATGTTTTCAAACGGGTGGACTACAAAAAAAAAACCCTCGTTTTTTTTTTTTTTGTGGGGGGGTAAAAAAAAAAAAAAAAGAGTACACAAGAGAACGTAAATAAGAAATCTGCAAAATATAACGGCGTCGCTGTGTGTAATTGTCTTTTTCTTCATTTTTCAGTGCCAGCGTCAGTTTCTGCCTGCTGGCTCATGGAAAACACCTCCCATCTCATCTAGGTGAAACACGCGCACGCACACGCCAGCGCACAGATGGTCCCGATTACACTGCCTCGCTTTCTTTGTGTGCCCTCAAGTATGCCGCACTTAACTGCGGTCAAACTGGCTGCTAACCTGAAGATAAAAGGGCAACTGTGTCAACGCAGGCTAACTTGTTGGGCTCCAACATTCAAGAAACGTGTTTGTTGCCGGCGTGTAATATCTGTGTTCTCTGGGCCGTGCGAGTCTCAGTGATTTCTGAATCAACATGCTGAAGCAGAACATGAGCCCCCCCCCCCCAACCCCCCTAAAAAAAAAGCTAATCACCGTTGCATGTTTTTACACGTCCACGTGTGTGTTTTTTTGCACATTTACACTGCCGCGCCGTGTTTATGCCCGTTTTTAGACTTCCTGGTGGAAATTCAGTTGGACAGTTCGAAGCAGAGCCAGATGGAATCCGTCAGGAGGACTCTGTTTCTGGATAGTCAGCAGCCCAGTTTGGTGAAGACTTTCAGTCTGGCTAACGGACATCGCCAGTGCCATGACACCAGGATCTATCTACGGGTCAGTCAGTCATTCTCATTCATTTTCGCAATTTTTCGGGGAGGGCGCACGGCACGGCGAAGCCGAAACGTGATAATTTACACCATTGCATCGTCATTCAAACGGACGTGCACTGGCGCTCATGCTTACAGGCATGTGAATGGTTATTGATTTGTTTTCACAATTTTAAGTGGCCTGATGGTCATTTTAACAAGTATTTCATTATGACTCAACTCTTGCCCTATTTGAGACAAATCAGTGTGCACGGTGTGGGAGAAAAAGCCCACCCCAGAAATGGATTTAAGGGCCAATGTATTCCAACCACCTCGAATGAAGCAACATCAAACCACAAGGTCAACCTCCAACAACAGTCTTGACTGATGTTGTTGTTGGTGCCACTCCAAGAAATGTGGGCTGGGTCTGGTACAGCTCAGGAAGAAGAATGCCCGTGAACACGCCGTCTAATAAAGTGGAATTTGCGCTCAGTAGAATGTAGACCTCCACTGATGCCAAACAATCCTTTTTGGATCAGCATCGCATTTTACTTGAGGTCCATCTCTTGCCTCCTCTCTGAACTGCGTAACTGAGATGGCGTAAAGGTCGAACATCTGTACTGTTGACGGAGTACCACCTGAAGCATTTTTGCAAGCATTTTTTTCACCCATGCTCTGAAAATCTTGCCATGCCCCATTGAAGGAAAAGGGAGAAAAAAAAAAACAAAGAGCTTGATTGGAATCCAATTTTTCGTCACTTTCAAAACATGCAATACATAAAAATGCAAGTACTGTAAATACTGCGAGTCCAGGAGCCTTCTCTATCTCGTCATATAATCAGACGGCCTCTGCAGCAGCGGGTGAATGTCATTACCTTTTAAGGATTAATCTCATTTCCGAAGAGAGAAGTTTTGAAGTTTGTTTCGAGTGTTATTTCTCGAGGCACTTATTAGCCAATGCCGAGGTGACATCAATCAGCACAGCACCAATCATCTCCTCACTCAGCGGCGCTCGGATCAAACGGCGCCAGCGACAAAAAGCACTCAAGCGCCCGTCTCTTGCTCTTTGACAAGATAAGAGACGGTTTGAGCTGCAGGTGGCAACCGTCCCCTCCGCTGTCAGTCAACATGTATCTTTTTGTGCACCTTTCTGGATTCGCATTCTTTACTGACATCCCCGCGGACGGAGGAAGCGACTAGCTTCTCAAAACAAAAACAAAAAAAAAAAAACAGACAGAGGTCTCCATGGTTGACGATCTGCTGCCGATCTCAAAGTACGGCAACTCTCCTGATATCCGATTGGGCAATAATCCACGATAAAAATGGAGGTACAGTAAGTCAATTTACAATGATATGTTGGAGAGCCGACCATTATACCTCCAGTACGTCTACCTATCAGCAACTCTCACATACAATAAATGCGGTAGATATTTACGTACATATAAATCTCGACGTTGCGATGGGCGCAAGCTAAGTATAGGCGGGTTTTTTTTTTCCCCTCCTCCTCTGTTCCTCATGCGAGTGCATCTCTTTGGTTTCAGGCAGAAGAGGAGTTTCGGGATAAACTCTCTCCCATTTTCATCAGTCTGGCCTTTCGCCTGGATCCACAAGCCCCAGTAGACCAATATGGCCTCAGACCTATCTTGAATTACCACACGGAGCAACTCATAGAGGAGAAGGTATGTACCGTTTCTCATATTTTCCATGCGATTTAACAAGACCATGAGGACAGAGGTCAAAGTCTTCTGTACAAGAAGTGGGGATAAATAAATACCTTGCGTTCTAAAATCGAAGTATATGGCCGTTGAAACTATTTCCATTTGAGCGAGCAAGAGAGCCTGGAGCAGATGGAGTGATGGCTACCTTATCTCAGGTGAAGCTCACCGACCTTTGGCCGCTCTTGGTCGTGTTTTTTTTTTTTTCCCGTTGCGCATTTATTTGATGGAGGTTGATGGTGGACTGGTGAGCTTGGCTTGTACAAAAAAAAACACACGCGGGGAGAACTGCCACCTGTGTTTGGGGTGGGCTGGCGTTCACTTTTTGAGACATCTGCATGTGGTTTACTTGTTCGTGTTGCCAAGTGCTCTCCTTCATGAGGCAAAAGGCTGAGTGTCAGCACGTGCGCATGTCGTCCATGTGACGCAAGACGATCTGCGCATGCGAAGCGCATGTGTGAGCGTGCACAAGCCTGGGAACCTTCAAGGAAACACAATCAAAGTCATCTGTTTTTTTTTTGTTCTTTGCATCCTTTCACTTGAAAAGGAATGACAGCTTTCGGAGTCGTTTACCCGTGATCAGAAACACACCAAGCCATCGATGGCCTCATGTTCGCCATCGAGAGCTGACGCGTGACAGTACATGTTCTTTGCTTGACTGTAAGCAAGCCTTACGGTACAAATCTCGCCTGTGGATGAAATATATTCTCCGTGTTCCATTTATAAGATAAGATAAGAAAACGTTTATTTTTCTCACAACGGGGAGAAATTTGCAATTTACAGCAGCAACATTTGGAGGGAAGAAAGTAGGAAAAACATGACGATTTGTATGCATCCTTCTGTTGACTGACGCATTCAGATTGTCCCCAAGTGGGAACCCGACCGGCTCAGAAGTCAGCCGAGTGAACCGCTAAACTATCAGTGAGCCCGCCGGCCAATACTG